CAAAAAACGGTACTACTACTAATAATACTCCACCTTTCAGACTACTGCACACGAATTTCCACAGTTATCTTCACCCCAACCTTGGGTTCTGCAAGAGTACTCCACCCCACATAAAATACACCAACATGTCAAAGCAGAAGCGCTTTGTGCCCTCCTCGTAGAACATTCAGTCAATCCAACCAACAACGTCTTGCGTACGTGTTGGTGCTCTAAGCGTCACAAAGAAAAAAAAAACCCCACGCCTAAGTCAATCAGTATTACACACCTAAAGTTAAACCTTATTAGAGCAAAAACAAAAAAAGGACTTTAAATGATAAAAGAGGTGTTGAAATCGCAATTGCAATTCTTTTCCTTTGTATGCAAATTTCCTTTCCTATCAACATTTGCCTGAAGCAGTTGACCGAATTATTGCCTCAAGTCGCCTGCACCTTCTCTTGAAATATTTGTACTTGCATACTGACTTGACAAAGATCCTGAAGGTCATTTGATGTGAATAATTTTAATTCACCCACTTATAATTTCGAATTTGGCACTTTTTATGGAGGAGAATGTTCACCAACTCCATCTCCTCCTATCTCCCACCTCTACCTGTCCAGAGCCTTGGTGAATGTGAGGGCTTACAGGCGATGGGTAGAATGGAAGAGTCGATATGGCTATTTCGTGAAAGGATTCAAGACAGCAGTTCAAAGCAAAGCCTACCGAAAATCTACCCGATGTTCCATTCACTACTGGAGACGCAGGTACTGCTCTTCCATTGTGACCATTTTGAGGAGTGGCATCGAAAGACTGGGGATAAAATACACCACTTCCACCGGTAAACGACCGTTGAGTTGGTCGATTGTCTTCTAATCCTTGCAAATGTACCAATCTACCACAAAGTGGAATGGATTTTGAGATAGCCAAAAGACCCGCCTCTGCAATATGATTTCCTGTAAGATCAAGGCGTCGCAAGGCGCGCGGACCATCACCCAAAATCTCGGCCAATGCAATAGCGCCTTGACAAGCAATTCCACAACGCGCCAGACCAAGGTAGACTAGACGATGACGAGTGTACATTTGCAAATCACTGCGAAGTGCTAAAACACCTTGACAGCCAAGATTGGGGTTATCACTCAACTCGAGGTGTGAGAGACAAGAGAGAGCAGGAAGACAAGTAGTGAAGTGCTTAGCACCGGCTGGACGAAGATCTGTACCAGCGAGGTAGAGACGACGCAGATTGCAACGAGGTTCAGTGGACGAAGGAGTTGTGGACGAATTCGCCAGATTGGAAGGGTAAGATGGATGGGATAAGGCTTTAGCTAGTAGTCTATAGCCCTCGTCCTGAAAGTAGAAGAAACAGACAATGATGATGACGAGAACGTGATGACGTCGAATAAGATTTTATACTCCGCCTCGTTCTTGCCCTTCTGTTAGCCCGACACTGTCTCATAGGGTGTTGGAGGAGAGGGTTGAGACACCGGAAAGGAGAAAACCATCAAATAAAAGTGCCTGCCTGTCAACCACGCAGTGAGAAGTGAATGCACACAAACGCAGTATAAAGACGTCAGCGTTAACGTCAACGGATAAACGCAGACGCATTTGTTGTACCCCATTACAGTGTTAAGCGAAGTAAAGCAAAAAACCACGTCATAGAGAGTGCCTACCTTTGTGGAGAGTAAGGAGGAAATGAAAAAAAAAACCAACTCCTTGTTTATAATGGCATTGGAGCTCCAATCGCGATGCTGCAGAGACAAAGCTTGCCTTCCAGCGGCAATTAAAAGGCGGAAGTGAACTCCTCTAGATGAATCTTTTTGTGTGTGTGTTAACATAAATGCAAAGAAAAAGTATAATACACTTCATCATGTTTTACTACGAGAAGGCGGAACACCACCTCGAGTTTGTCGTATTCGGAGGCTGTAACCTGATAGTCAGACACAGTAGCATACACGCACAAAAAGGTGAGAGTTTTCACACACACACACACACACTTTGCCAGATCTATAAAGGCATACTTGACAACTGACAGCTATCCTCCATCCAACAGGCTCATATCCAACCGTGTCCGGGTTTGATTATTCCTTCATCCTCTCCAAGGCCACATTTGTGGTTAAGTTGACTTGCCTACGCCAGATCTACCCAGGCAAGGTGTATCACTTTATGCATAGCCTTCAACAACTTTGACACACAATAAGACAGATGAGGCTAAGGTCCACCTTCCATCTAACACGCAACAACTCCAATCTTGCTACTCTCTCTGTTGGCTTGTTACTCGGCTCAATCTCACGATGTGTCAGTAATGAGCAATGGTAACTTAACTTCCTTACAGTTTTACATTTCACAGTAAGAGAAGGTGTGTGTGTGTGTGTGTGTGCCATCTGAGGAGACTTTCATATGTAAGGTGCGACGAGACGCATATTGGAAGTATGTAGTGCAGTTGGTCAGAGATCAGTCAAGTTGGATGACTAGAAAATTGCTAAGCCAAGTGTTTGTCAACGTGCATCAAAGATGCGTGTGGTGAGGCCTAGAATTGATGGATGGATGGATGGATGGATGAATAGATGGACCTAAGGTTGCATCTACGCCTATAGCGAGCCAAAAAGTTCAAAGAATGGCAGGCAGAACCTAACTTCACCCTACCATAGACAAAACTCATTCACAATAAGGAAGGTATCAACTATTGTAATTACTTTAACCTCTTCAGATGGCAGAGATGTATTAATACAGGCAATCAACTCACTCCAAGGCCATTATGACTCAAATCCAACACCTGCAGTGCCGGATGGTATCGCAACAACGGCGTCATCAGCTCTATATCATGGGCGGTCAGCTTATTTGTCGGTAACCGTAGGTCTCTCAGATGCCCAGACACTCTGATACCTGTAGTGACATCGAGTAATGCGGATCCAGAGAGTCCTGTCTCGCCCAGATGAAGACCTCGAATACAGAGAGGCGGTAGCCGTTGCAACGCTCCAGAAAGGGTGTGTACTTCAGCGGGTGTAGGCATGTAGGAGAAGAAGAGGCTAAAGGTAAGCTGAAAAGCCTCCGTATCCGAAAGAGCATCACGAGAGGAGTCGGGATTCACAAGCTCCTGACCCGTACAGACAGCAAGAAATTTGGTAACCACTTTACGCGCCTCGTCACGCTGAGACGTGAGCCCGAGGCTGAGGTGTCTTGCGCCCACAGAATTCAGAGGAATGCCACGGAGATCAAGCCAGTTGAGCTGAGGATACTAAAAACACCAATCACTACTCAGAAAACAAGCAATTTAACATATGTAAGAATTCCTACACATTGAAATATCCAAAGTAATCGAAATGATTTCACAGTCTA